AGGGCGCCGTAGAGTGTCCTCCTTTTTTAAAACTAAAATATGGTAACCCTACCTTCCAGGCAGGAGTGGGTGACCACCCCGCTACAGGAAGGTTAAAGGAAACAAGTCACCCGTCCTGTGGGCACAGGGACACCATAAACAGCCGCCTCTGCACGGGAAAGGAAGTTCACAGTCTGTTCCTCATACATTCCATGTCTCTTTCCCAGGCCCTGGTCACGCCAGGGTGATACCACAGGGTGACAATCTGTACCTGAAAGTAGCACCATGGAGCCCCTTATTCACCACTATGATAGAATTATGATAGGTTGGGTACAAAGGTGCCTTGTGAGGCATCATTTTAAAAGCCTTGATCTGTTGAGCATTCATTTCCTGTTGCATTGTATCTGCTATCCTTGTATGGGAAGTTATGAAGCATTGCTCTGTGTGCTACTGAAATATGTCGTGAGCTTGGGAGATGCCCACAGCCAACCTTTCAATTGCAACAAGGGACCAGCCAGACACTGTTAATCGCTCATCAACACCCCTCAAGGAAAGAATCCACTATCCCAGAGACTGTGTACAATGGAGATTGCTTGACCAATGGGGACTGCCTGATTCCCAGATCACAGTAAAGATCTTTCAAGCAAATTGGAAAAAAATATAAAAGAGGGGAAGGGACATAATCCCTGGGCTTTTCTTCCCCACAACTCAACACCTGGAGGAACATCTGGAGGACAAAGACTTTGAACCGGGGAAGGGTGGTTGGAGGCTGGGATGGAGTCCAGTCTGTGTATTGAGGATCTGTAACCTGCTTGTCCCATCTGTCAGGGGGAGACACTGCCTGATTCAAACCCTGTTTCATTTGAGGAACTTAGACTGCAAATATATTTTTATTTCTTAAGTAGCCAACTCTGATCTCTGCACCTGCTTCTTATAACCACTTAAAATCTCCCCTTCTGCAGTTAATAAATCTGTTTTATATTTTACCTAAAACAGCATGTTTTGGTTGAAGTGCCTGGGAAATCTCAACTCAGTTTACAAAGACTAGTGCGTGTCCCCTCCACACTGGGGGAGGGGAGAATTTAATGAACTGACACCGGACTGGCTTCTGACCAGTGCAGGATGGTACCGGTCTGGGGTGCAAGGCTGGGGAGCTGGGGGGAATTGGCTGGAGCCCCCTATTGATGGTACCTGAGTGGCTGGGAGATCATTTGTATAACACAGCTGGGTGGGTCCCTGCCTGTGGATGGCTGGGTGAGTGCAGAGCCTCTCCGAGGTTCCTAGCTTGACATCAGCATCACAGTGTCAGAGGCAGCCCAGGTTGGTGCCTTTGGAGGGCTCAGTGGTCCCACAGGCCGGGTTGCGCCCTGGGGACCCCGTCACACACGTGTCAGACACTTGCTCTGGCAGTGGTCACACACCCTCAGGCGCTAGGTGGCAGGACCCTTCTTCCCAGCAGGGCCTCTTGGCTGGGCGTCTCTCCCTGTGCTGGCCCAAAGTCCCTCCTGCCAATTTGGGGCTATTAACTCCTGGTTCTGTTTTCCCCCAGCGTGATGTCGACAGTCATGGGATTGTAGCCAGGGAGCTTTTCGGGTCAGCCCAACCCAGCGTCTGTGGCTGGTTCTCTCGCCTGGGTTACAACGTTCAGCATCAGAGTAGCAGCCGTGTTAGTCTGTATCCGCAAAAAGAACAGGAGTACTTGTGGCACCTTAGAGACTAACAAATTTATTAGAGCATAAGCTTTCGTGGACTACAGCCCAGTTCTTCAGATGCAGACAGAGTGGAATAAATATTGAGGAGATATATATACACACATACAGAGAGCATAAACAGGTGGGAGTTGTCTTACCAACTCTGAGAGGACCCATGGAAAAGAAGCCCTTGAGGAATTCCACCATGATTTCAATAATTTCCATCCCACCATCAACCTCAGCCTAGATCAATCCACACAAGC